TAATATCTGCATAATGAATAATAAAGGAACTGAGGAAAAGACCTCACTTAAAAAAAAAAAAAAAAAAAAAAAAAAAAGTGGATGAGTTAGGAAATCCAATTGCAATCCATGATAGTGGTCTTTGTTATGATAACAGAAGGTATGACAAAGCATTTGAATGTTTTCACAAATCTACTAATGTGGGATTTGAAAGTGTGGCGAGTAATGTTGCTAGATAGTATCGAAACGGTATCAGTATGAAAAAGGATATTCAAGAAGGCAAATTGTTGGGCCACAAAATGTAGAAGTCTTTTGAACCACCAGATCATATCATCCTGAACTTAAGAGAATGTTGGATGATAAGAAACTTAGATTATCTTGGATTGATTATGATGAATTCGAGGATATTATAAAAAGGAGGATTTGCAACTATATGTTATGCACGTTGGTTCAGTAAAATTAACAGTGCGTGGAAATATAGTTCACTTAAAGTGATTCGTGGTCAAGCGAAAATGAGCAAGAATTTATCCACGAATTATGGGGATTTACTAAAAAGATCATTATGGCGAGAACTTGTAGAAGTATCATGATTAGAATAGAAAGATAAATTAAATATTTTGTGCCATATAGCTTAGCTCTTGAGTCAATTCATTTGCAGGAACTCGTTTTTAGAGATTTATATAGCGCATACAACACTGACCTTGGACTTTCCAAAAGGGTAAATGAAGAAGAAATTTGTGAAATTCTACTATATATGATTGGCCATTGTGATAAAAGTGGAAAAGAGTGGGTATGAGCAATGATGAAACGGCACTTGAGAGGAGTGTGAAATCTACCGAGATGGTTAACTAAGAAGTCAGTGATTATAGCAGATAATTGATTCACGAGATATAGGAGTTTTGAAAAAAAAAAAAAAACTAATGATCACCGGATCATATCACCTGGGAGTTGAGAATACTAGATGATGAGAGATTATCTTGGATTGATCATAGCAAATTCGGAGATGCCAGAGTGTGCTAGGAATTGAAGAATTACTGCGAATAAGAAATAGACACGATTCGGGGAGATTTAGCTCAGATGAGAGCAGCGGATGATTAAGTGATAAAGAGCTAGTACCAATTTCCGAGTGTAGAACCGATTAGAGGATTGATTACAAGAACGTTAGTCAAGTGGGGTCTAGCTGCTATCACAGCCAAAATCGGTTCTACAGCAAAATTGATCTGGGGTTGTGCAATGGGATCTATGTACGATAGTTTAATATGTATAACTGATCAATCAAGAATCGATCAAAATGCATAAGAAAAGAAAAGATAAGTATCGGATGATTGATTAATGATGTAATTGAAGTAAGAGATAAGTATCAGATAATTAACTATGATGTAACTGATCTAGGGTCGAATATTAGTATATAAGGAATCCTTTTGTTGATAAAAGGACATAACAACAGACATATTATAGATTTTTATGGATGGTTACGACTCTTATGTGCGTGGTGGGACACATGAGGATATACAAATAAGTAAAAAACAGTAGGTAGATACAAGTATACTCTCCTCAAAAAACGTACGAATGACGAATTAGAAGAAGATTTACTTTTACTAGTGATTTGAAGGATTTCCAATAGGTGGTCAGGTAGAACCATCACATTAAGGATGATGGTAGGTTGCTATAAGGCGTATCTTATTGTTTGCAGAGAAGTATAGATCAATAAGAAGGGCAATACCAGGTATAGTGCTGATTTTATGGATGTGTGGTTGAATTGATGGGTTTAAAGCTATTGCGACACCTTTACATGATTTACAAATGTTTGTGTTAGTTTGATTACAGTTTGATGTGTAAATCTTGTAAAGCGGGTTAGTAAATGCTATGGGGTTAGTAGATATAGCTAGTTTTGTTTCTGTTAGAAAGACTATATTTATTTTGTTAAAATCACAGTATTCTAGTAGTAGTTGTAGTTTGAGTGACTGGTTAATCCCTTGGACATTGTAGTTAAGTATGTTAAAAGTTTGTTTAATAGGAGGGGTAGGGTTGTGATGGTTAGTATAAGATGTCGAAGGAGGTGTATAGTTAGAAAGTAAGATGTTAGTTTCCGATAGTTAATCGTATATATTAGTGAATTCACTCATCAGAGACATAATTGTTAAAGAGTTCCCATTTAGGTATAGGGAGTTCAGGGATATCGACGATGTGGGGGGAACCCCTCTGAAGATAAAGTGAGTATATAAAAATACAATAGCATTTTCAACTTCTTGTTGAGAAGTAGCTAGTAGGACGATTGGTTCAGGTGTAGATATATAATTAATTATAGCTCTGATTTCATCGAGTGTAGATGGTAGTGGAGGACAATTTGTTTCAATTAAGGCTTTATGTGGAATATTAATCCAGTTAGCTGGGATTTGTTTGAAATAGTAGTATTCTCTTAAGAGGCGTGCAGTTTTAACTAGGACTTTGGGGCTTGTAATAGGTGTGGTAATGTTGACCAGCTTTACCTTATTAGCGATCAAGGGTAGCTCTGGTTTGTTTGTAGAGTTAACTGTCATGTATTGCTCGGGGAGAGATAAAGTAAAGCAGTATTTGTTTTGAATAGCTGCCAGAAACTCTTTTGCTAGTGTTGGGTCATTGGTAGAGAAGGAGTATTTTTTTGAAGTAGCTACTTGTGTTGGGTTTTGAGAAAGAGGCTGTTTCTGTACAAAAAAGTCAGAGGGAACACATTTAAAACTATAGTGTTGGCGAAGGACCTCAACAAAGTGGCGAAATTCAGTGGAATCTTTAGGGTTGCAAGGAAATAGGTGTCGAGTAGCCAAGTTTAAGTTTTGTGGTGTAGTAGGGTGAAAAAGGGAGTTCTGGGACACTTTTTTGGTACCCTGGGTACTAAAGTATTCATTTTGCTTTTTAGA